GAAGGAAGGAAGGAAGGAAGGAAGGAAGGAAGGAAGGAAGGAAGGAAAGAAGGAAAGAAGGAAAGAAGGAAAGAACTGACTTCATAAAGCTGTCCTCTGCCCTCCACATGCAGTGGCATGCTCACACACACAGTAACTTAATGAGAATAACTACCTAAAAGAAAAAATGCTTCTATTTCAGCGTGGTGAACAGACTGCTCTATGCAATATGCTGTTGCATTTGCATGTCAGCTACAAACACACTGGCTAATGAACGCCCAGGATTCATCCTAGTTAAATGGCCATATGAGGCTGCCACGCTGGTCAATAAATGTGGAGGGTCCCTGCAGGCTTTCTGGATGGCTGGGAAATGGTCCTGTAGACCAGGCTGGCCTTGAACTCTCAGAGATCAGCTTGCCTCTGCCTCCGGGATTAAAGGTGTATACCGCCACACCTTGTAGTGCTCATTTTTAAAACTTTTAAATTTTATTTGGGGTTCCCTAAAGCCTCTCCCTTCTAACCCTCCAACCCTAGGTAAGAGAGAGAAGGTTAGTGGGGAGAGGGGGTACAGACCCCTTTACTTCTCCTGGCTGTTCAGAGTTGACGGGTTCTTTTGGGGGCTCTGTCAACAGCAAAGGCAGCAAGCAGCCTCCTCCAAGCTGCCGCACTGAAATGTTTCTCTCTTCTCTCCCTCTGTCTGTCCAAACCCCGTCACCGTCCAGCTCTCTGGTCTCTCCAAACTGCTACTTGCCACAAGACACACTGACACACTTTCACTCCATGAGCTCTCCTATTTATAGCTCTCAGAGTCCTAGGCCACCCCCCTCTCCTTGCTGCAGGAGGCAGGTCATTACCAGCTGGCAAAGACCACACCCTGCAGGAGGCAGTTATCAGCTGTGGACAAACCAAAGCCCAAACTAAAACCCCACGCTTGGGATTAAAACAAAAACATATTTACATAACATAACTGACTTCTTAAAGAAACCAAAGCTTCCATTATAACACTTGGCTACATAGGCATTTTTAATTAAGAGAAATAAGAGGGAGAGGGAAGTGGCTGTTACATTTTTTCTCTATCTATTTACCTGCTGCATGTACGTGTGTAGGTAAGCATGCCATGGGCACATACGTGAAGACCAAAAGAGACTCTGGGAGCTGGTTCTCTCCTTCTACCAGGGATTGAACTCAGCTCCTCAGTCACGGCACCAAGTTCCTTTACGCACTGAACCATCTCTCCAGCTAGAAAGTAGCTTTCTGGAAGATGTCACTTGTACCTCACAAAGAGGTCCGATGTAGTCGTATCTTCAGCTTTGTTGTGCACATGGGATTATCATCAAGAAACTCTTTTCCAAATTGTGCTGTGATTAAATATGCCTAAAATAAACTGCTTGGGGTCAGACTCTCAAAGTTTGAACCAAAACTGGCCACCGAGTCGTGCTGAGCCAAACTGTCCTCTTGCAATCCCGTGGACTGTCACTTCCCTGGCCGTGGTGTTCGCAGATAACCTACCCTCTACCACTGTGACTCAGGACAGACTCTGGAGGCTACTGGGTTTAGTCAGGTCTGTTGCTTTATCTGACCATTTGCTCACACCTTGTGGAAATTTTGGGCACTTCTGTCTTATTTCCATTTGTATTATTATATGAAAATTGTACACATATATGGGCCCCATAATGTTTCAGTGTATAAATACATTGTATAACGTATAAATTCAGTGCATAAATCGGAGGTAGTAGCTAATCCCACCACTAGGAAGGCAGAGGCAGGTGCATCTCTGGGAGCTCCAAGCCAGCCTGGTCCATATAGTGAGACCCTGGTCTCAAAATAAATAATTAAAATTTAAAAATCATGGCAAACATATTACCTGTGTCCTTAAATACTTATATTTTTGTGGTGAAGACATTCTAAATATTTTCTTCTAGTTCTTTTTAAAGGTATATATTGTTAGCTGGGCATGGTAACACATATTTAAAGGATAACTGTGAGTTTGAGGCCAGCAAGTTGTAGGCCAGCTGGGGGCCACATAATGAGACCTTGTCTTATTATTATTATTATTACACATAAAATACACACATTGTTATCTATAGCCGCCCAGGTGTGCAATAGTATATACCCAGATTCAGTTTTCTTATCTAACTAGTTATTGCCTTTTTCTTTCTTTTTATTTTCTTTATAAAGTAAATAAATTAAATTAAATTAACGCCACACTCCACTCCACTTGGCCTATTGCCTTTTTCTATATGTTGATTATTCTTGAATAAAAGGCGAGAAGGAAGTAGGCGTGGTGTCTCAAGCCTGTAGCCTCAGCACTCCAAAGGCTGAGGCAGGAGGATTACAGTAAGTTGAACACCAGCCTGGGTTATATCCATCAAGTTCCAGGCTGACCTGGGGCACAGTGAGACGCCCATCTCAAAACAAAACAAAGACAAAATGCCGCTAAATAAATGCAACCCTCTGCTAAAAAACAAGAACCCGGAAATACAGTTTAAGGAGGCATTACGCACCATCGCCAAGAAACATTAAGCACCTTTCTCATCTTAGACCACTGCTTACATTGGTGGAACACAGCTCCATTTTCCTTGCAGCCGGATCCACGACAGAACGCTCTTTGATGTATGTCAAGGTCCTGTTGGCTCCCAAAATCTAAGAGACAAAACAAGTATAGTGACGTGCTAAAATCCAGTTACTCGTTTCTTTACAACAAATGCTCTATTATCTGTGGACAAAGCGGTATTGGGCAGGTATTGGAAAACGGAGTTAAGAATTTAACGCCTGTCAGTAATGATGGATGTTTCGGCAAAAATTAAACCAGCCATCTCCAGGATCCTGAGGATCCTTTTTTTGGGAGTCAAGAACTGGCCTGCAGTGATGGCGTTCACATCATAGAATCCGGGGGAGGCAGAGGAGCCACAAGGAGACGGCAGACCATGGGGCAATGCAAGGACTGGGTTCCAAGTACAGGCGAGGTCAGGGTGCAAGCCACGCAGGGGAAAGCTGTCCTGACTCTTACAGTCTCACAGTCCTCCCTCTGACCCCCTCCCACCCCCATCCTTGGCTCTATGGGTACGGGCTGAGCTGTGTCTCCCTGAAGCTCGTATGTAAAAGGTCTAACTGCAGCACCACAAAATGTGGGATTCTGGGCCTTCACAGGTGTCACTGAAGAAGGGTCACCCAAGTCACCTAGCCCAGAATACCTAGTGTCCTTTCCAGACAGCAGAATGGGACACGGACAGTCTGAAGTTTGGGGAGAAGGGGGCACAGGGCTGGAGGGACCCTTTGTGGCACCCCTCAGCAGTAAGGCAAGGGCGGGTGGCCACATGTGGTGACCAGGCCTGGGCGGCCACGCAGAGAGGCTCACCGCACGCACGAGGCCCGGCAGCCCCCATTCGGTGCTGAGCAGGCGCAGACTGTGCAGGCGCCCACAGCCGTCCACGCTGCGCTCTAACACGTCCACGCCCACCACGCAGGGGTTCATCGGGTTTGGGTACTTCCGCATGGCCGCCTTGATCACCGTGTCCCAGGGATGGCTGGCAAGAGAACACAATCAGCATAGGAAGTAGCCGCAAAGCTCAGGCTCCTGGGTCCGGGCAGGCCAGGCTGCCCTGGGTGCCGATTTAGCCTGGGCTTGCAGCGGGGGCCCCAGGTCTGCGCAGATGCTGCACAGGACCATCAAGCTTAGTTGGCCTGTCTGCCTTTTCCTGTCCTGGCTCTTCTTCAGCCCACAGGTGTCAGAAACCTTTCGTGGGGACTTAGCAGAGACACAGGTCGCCCTGCCTGCACCTCGCTGGAAAAACGTTGGCTGCTGCCCTTAATGCAGGCTGGACCCTGACTGGCAAGCCGGTAGGTAGCCTGGTCATCCATAAGAACACCAAGCAGGCTTTCGTTCCCACGTGCTCAGTGTGACTAAGAGCCAACTAAAGGCAGTTCCCAGCTGATTCGGTTTAGGACGTTTTCAACTTTATAATGGTACAAAATATGTACCTCACAGCCATCCATTTTTCACTCTCAGCACAAGTTTACAAGGACATCAGCTGCCCTGAATCGGAGTTACAGGCAGCTGTGAGCAGCCCCATTAGCCATTTCTCCAGCATTTTTGACTGAAGACAATTTCAACCTGCAATGGTTTTATCTGGATGTGACAGAAGCATCTACATCTCATTCAAACTTATACGCAGGATGTGGCTTGAAGCAATTCAGGTTTTTTTGTTTGTTTTGTTTTGTTTTAATGAGTATGAGTGTCTTGCCTTCAAGTATGGTTGTGTATCACTTGGGTGCCTAGTGCCTGTGGAGGTCAGAAAGGGGCACTGGACCCCCGGAACTGGATTCACAGATGGCTGTGAGCTGCCGTGTGGGTGCTGGGAACTGACTGAACTCAAATCCTCTACAAATGCAGCAAGTGCTCCTGACCATTCAGCATCCCTCCGGCCTCACAGCTTAAACTTCTTAAAATCAGAAGTAGGAAAACTTCTTTCAAGTCATCTGCAACTCTGATAATCACTGTCACCATTCTGATGTGCCCCCTCTATTCCCAAACGTTTCAAGACTCCGAGAATCTAGGACTCCGAGAATGGGGACTCGGGGACATCAGTGGTGTGACTGCCACCAGCTCGCCACACCTACCTCCTCCTGCAGACTCCCAGCTCTGTGTCCATAAACCCCAAGGGGTCTCCAGGAGGTCCCAGACACTCCCTACCATTTCCCTTCTCTAAGTCAGAGCTCAGAACTAGGGCTTTCCTCTAAATGCATCTCTTGCTATCAGAGATGCCCACAGCGTCACACAGCTGCCCACTACTGTCTAGAGCCTTGCCTTGGTTAAGCTGGCCCAACATCGGACATCAGACATCAGACCCCTGTCATGGAGCCAAGCTAAAGGAGCCACCACATGTTCAGCATGGGCCTTCCCCTCCCACTGAGAACTACCATCACGTCAGCTAACCTTCTGTCCCCCTCCGTGGTATGCTGTCCTGGAAGTCTCTCCCGCAAAGAGGTGTGTATTGCCACAATGCCATCATTTTCTTATTTCTGACTCAGACTTAGGTGATATACTTACAGCAAAATGACCACAGAAGTTATTGTGGATATATGTGGTTTTCTGTTTGTTTGGTTGGTTGGTTGGTTTCTGAGACAGTTCTCTGTGTAGTCTTTGCTATTCCGGACCAGGCTGGCCTCGAATTCAGAGATCTGCCTGCCTCTGCCTCACAAGTGCTTGGAGTAAAGGCATGTGCCACCACCACCTGGCTATGAGTGGTCTTTTATCTGTATATGTGTATCCATGTGTGTCTGGTGCCTGTGGAGGCTAGAAGAGGGCATTGGATCCCCTGGAACTGGGTTAAAGTGACAATGTCCAGCCAGGTGTGGTAGCTCACGCCTTTCATCCTGGCAGGGAGGCAGAGGCAAGCAGACCTGAGTTTGAGGCTAACCTGATCTACAGAACGAGTGCCAGGACAGCCAGGACTACACAGAGAAACGCTGTCTTGGAAAAAAAAAAAAAAGTGGCAAAGTCTAGGCACAAAAGTCAACACTGCACCCTCTGGCTAAAGAAAATACTACTTCACGGCCAGCATGCAAACCTGGCAACACTGGTTGTTGAGAAGGGCATGGCTGGCTGGGGGCACACGAGTTCACAGGAGTTCCTGCTGGGTTGTTTTCCTGAGGAAGGAAGCTGTAAGTGCACAAAGCTCTCCCTGGCAGATAAGGAGTTGGATGGAGGCCTCTCTCAGAGTCCCAGCAACACATTGAGACTCGGCCCGACTCTGTCCTACCCCAAAGGAAGGGAGGCCTCTGCTTTCCACCACTCTAGAATGGCCCCAGCCATACACACCAAGGTCTGATGGAGCAAAGAGGAGATGGAAGGATGTGTTCTGGCTTCCACGCTGTATTCGAGTTCTCTACAGGAAGAGAACTGACAGAGTGCGCGTGTGCACGTGCGTGATTTTGTTAGCGTGGCTTACATAATACTGTCTGGGTAGTCTGACAGTGGCTGTCTCACACTGGAGGGGCTGAGAATCTGGTGCCTACTCAGCCCATGTGGCTGATCCCAGTAATCCCAATCTACCACTGAAGGCCTGGAGGACTCCTGGAGAGCTGTTGGTCTTCAGGCTGTGTTGGTTCTAATGTCAGTGGAGGGATACCATGGCCACAGGAAGGATGAAGGTGCCAGCAGGAAGGAGAGCACGCTGAAAGAAGGCAAAGGTTCCCTCCTCCATGTCTCTTGATCTGTGCAGCCTCTAGAAGGTGCTCCCTCATTTAGGCTGTGTCCTCCTGCTTCAAATAATCTGATCAAGAAAATCCTTTGCAGGAGTGCCCAGCAGCTTACACTTTAGTTGAACCGAGATCAGTGAAGGCAACAATGAAGACATCATCACACATGCTAGGAAGTAAGAGGGTCCAAGGAAGAACCCCAGGCAACCCCAGGGTGGTAGAAACCATTGCCCAAGATTTGCCCAAATCAGCCGGGCAGTGGTGGCTCATGTCTTTAATCCCAGCACTCAGGAGGCAGATCTCTGTGAGTTGGAGGCCAGCCTGGTCTATAGAGCACTTCCAGGACTGTTGGGACTACAAAAGAGAAACCCTGTCTTGGTAAAAAAAAAAAAAAAAAAAAAAAAAAAAAGAGTTGCCTAAATCATCCAGTGAAAAAGCCAAAGGTGGGAATACACGTGAAACCAAGCAAGTTGTAAGAAGACCAGCTAGCCCAGGAGACCCACCATGTGTCCAGAATTCTGCTCTTTCCACTTTTGCTTATTTCCAAAAGTCGTAGAGTTAAAGGTTTGGGGGTAGGTTGGTTAAGAGACAGTCACAGGACCAAAGACTCCATTATACCCTACCTTCAGTGCGTTCTGAAGAGGGAGGTCTACACGCTGGGGGCTCTGGACCCTCTTAGGAAGTGGCTGTGACAATGTGACTGTGACAATACTAGCTCTCACCTTATCAACTTTACACTGATGGCTTTTAAAGCGATGGGGGAAATGCTGGCCTCGCCCTGCAACGCAGGCCAGGCTCCAAACCACAGCCCGGTCACTGCTGCTCCCACACGCACTCAGGGAAACAGCCTGGGATTCTCTCAGGAGTATGTGATGAAACGGTAAAGTGGTTAACTTCATCATCACTTGACCCCAGAGGACTCTTGTCTTTGACAACCTGCAAGAGAACAGGAAGCAGGCCAGAAATATCTCTGCAGAACAAGCCGCGCTCAAGCTGCCCTGGGTAGATCAGGCAGCTTTGTGTTGGGAGCTTCCTGCTGCCTCTCACCGCCCACAGCTTGCCCTTGGAAGAACAACGCACAGACTGTTGGCTCAGACTTGGGGATTTGGTGGGTATTTCCTGGGAAGTTAAGTGAGCTTGGTCATTTTAAGGCAAACATCTTTAGTGTTTGTTGGCGAAGATAAAACCTGAGCTTTTGAATGAAAGCTGAAGTTGGAGGGAACTTTGTATCCATTACTGTGAGCATCATTGCCCCATACAACAAACCTGGGATCACACACATTCCAAAGGATGGACACAGGCGACTCTGGAGGCAGAGATGCACTCAGCATGACTTGTTTTTCTGTTCTTTGTTCTCAATTTTAAAGTACTACTTTTTATTTATGTTTTTATAATATTTATTTTATTTTGTATACAGTATTCTGCCTACATGTACACCCGAACTCTGGAAGAGGGAACTGATGGTTGCGAGCCATTGTGGTTGCTGGGAATTGAATTCAGGACCGATAGAAGAGCAGCCATTGCTCTTAACCTCTGAGCCATCTCTCCAGCCCAAATTACTAAATTACTAAATTACTACTTTTTAAAAAAGCCAACTTTTTTTTTTTTTTTTTTTTTTTTTTTTGGTCATAGCAGTAAAGGAAAGGTACAAAGACATTTTACTGGCTGATTTTGTGTCAATTTGACACAAGCTAGGGTCATCAGAGAGGAAGGAGCCTCAGTTGAGGAAATGCCTCCATGAGAGCCAGCTGTAAGGCATTGTCTCAATTAGTGATCATGGGGAGGGCCCAGTCCACTGAAGCTAGGGCTGGTGGTCCTGGGTTCTATAAGAAAGCAGGCTGAGAAAGGCATGAGGAGCAAGCTAGTAAGCAGCACCCCTCCATGGCCTGTGCATCAGCTCCTGCCTCCAGGTTCCTGCCCTGACTCCCTCCAATGACTGACTATGATCTGCAAGTATAAGCCCAATAAACCCTTTCCTCCCCAACTTGCTTTTTGGTCATGGTGTTTTCGTTGCAGCAATAGAAACCCCAAGACAAACATACTTAACATTTTGCAACTCCCTGTCTGAGGCTGGACTTTATCCATGCACCAAAGCACTATATTACAAAACACCAGATGCTGAAGTAGATAAGAGAATCAAACTACAGAAACCATAGATATTATTTTTAAAGTACCAGTCTCCCAATTTCTGGAAAATACAGTTGCTAAGTTCTTAATTGTTGAGAGAGGATCTCATACATGTTCCGCTGGCCTTGAACTCCTGATTTCCCTGCCTCTACCTCCCAACTTCTGGGCCTACAAGCATGTACCACCATATCAAGTTTATGGGGTTGGGGATTAAACCCAGGGTTCCATGCACTCTCTAGGCAAGCATTCTATCACCCAATTTTTACTTTAGATTGTTAACAGGACAGGCTTAAAGCCAGGCATGGTGGCAGATGGCCTGTCATCTGAGCACTCAGGAAATGGGCACAGGAGGATCAGAAATTCAAAGTCATCTTTGGCCACACAGTGAGGCCAGCCTAGGCTACATGAAACCCTGTCTCAAAAGTGTTCGTTGTCACTTATTGTAATTAATTAATTTTAAAATTTCAATTTTCGTTTGGATGATAACAGAGTTGGCTGGTCTCTGGACTTAGCCTCAAGACCCTCCCTCCTAAGTGCTGGGTTACAGGCTGTGCCAGTATACCTGGCTCTCTGGTATAATAACTAATAAAAAGAGATATAATCAACATAAAAAAAAACTGAGGGCCTCAGTATCTCCAAGTAGACAGTAAAGTAGTCCCGTGGCTGAATAGCCAAAGACCCACTGGCCTAAGTGGCCTCTGTGTTAGCCACTATGGCAATACCACCACCACCCCCAAACAAAATTAAGAAAAGACTAGCCAGGCGTTGTGGCACATGCCTGTAATCCCATCACTTGGGGAGGCAGAGGCAAGCAGATCTCTGAGTTCGACGCCAGCCTGATCCACAAATCAAGTCCAGGACAGCCAAGGCTACACAGAGAAACCCTGTCTTGGAATTCCTTCCCCCCGGCCCACCTCAAAGAGAGAGAGACTGAGAGACAGAGAGGGGGAAAGATTGATTTTGGCTTATGGTTTCAAAGGCTTCAGTCCATGGTCACTTGTCCCTGCTGCTTCTGAGCCAGTGATACGGCAGAAGATATGACAGATAACACAGAGTACATCCGTCATCTCAAGACAGAGAGCAGAAAAGAGAAAGAGAAGGGGTCAAGACATACCCCTTCAATGGCAAACCCCAGGTGACTCCCTCCAACAAGGCCCCAATTTACACGGTTCCACCATTTCCCACTTCAACGTGTGAGACCACTGATTAGGTCAGAGAGCTCAGGAAATAAGTAATCTCCTGTGGCATCGGTTCTCAACCTGTGGGTTGCAACCCCTTTGGGGTCGACTAAGAGCATACCCATATCAGATATTTATATTACAATTCATTTGCTACGTCACAGTAGCAAAATGACAGTTACGAAGTAGCAGTGAAAATACTTTTACCGTTGGTATCACCACAACATGAAGAACTGTATTAAGGGGTGGAAGCATTAGGAAGGCTGAGAACCAGCACACCAGTGAACCTCAAAAAACAAAATGATGCCGGGCATGGTGGCACATGCCTGTAATCCCAGCGCTTGGGAGGCAGAAGCAGGCTCTCGCTGTGAGTTCAAGGCCAGCCTGGTCTACAGATTGAATCTAGGACACACAGAGAAACCCTGCCGGCGGGGGGGAGGGGAAGCTTTCTAAAAGATACAAAATACCACGTAAGATGTATGACTATTTAAATAAAATATCCAGGGGAAAAAATTTACGGAAACAGATTGGGTGGTTTCCTGGGGAACGAATGGGGAGTGGATCTCCCACACAAAGCTCAGTATCTCTTCAGGAGATAACAAATGTTCTAAAGCTGGATGGAGCATCAATTTGCAAAAATAAAAATAAAAACAAATTCCTGTAACTGCTAAAAATTACTCAGTTGTATTACGCATTTAATTTTTTTTTTTAATTTTTCTCTCTTTTCGTGTGTGGTGTGCATAAGCATGAGCGCTGTGCATACGTGAACGAGAGTGTCACGCTTGTGGAGGCCCAGACCCATGTGGGAAATGCTCTTCTATATTATTCACTGAGGCAGGGTAGTCTTGCTAGCTAGCTTGCTCCAAGCTAGAGTCACAGGCCCCGCTGCAATCACTGACTTATAACGGTTCTGGGAGCTGCACTTCAGGCCCTACACTCACATGGCAAGAGCTTTAGCCAGGGAGCCATCTCCCCGGCCCAGAATTGTAGAAGGCAGTTTCGTTTGTTTGTTTCTCTGTGTAGCACTGGCTGTCCTGGACGAGGCTGGTCAAAAACTCACAGAGATGTGCCTGCCTCTGCAGGGCGAATGCTGGTGATTACCTCCCCCATCAGCTCAGAACACATTTAAAAATGTGTTCTTGGGTCCAACAAGATGGCTCAGCTGCTACAGCTGCCCGCTGTCAAATCTAACAGTCTGAGTCGGATCTCCTGATACACAAGGCAAGAGTTGAGAACCGGTTCCCCCATGTTGTCTTGGCTGCCACACACATACACAACACCACAACATTAAAGTGGGTGGTAACACACACGTTACAAATTACAAAATATAAATAATAAGGATTAAAAATAAATAAAAGGACGGCAGCTGCAAACATGGTCAGAATTGTCAACACTGGCTTTTCGGCGACAGTCAGCTCTCAGCAGGTTCAAGTCAATACTCCGGCATCTCTGTACATAAGACTTTCCTGCGGCACGGCGCAAATTCTATCTGAATCTTGGGGGGAACCCCCTTCAGAAAGACTGCAACTTTACCAAAAAATGACATGCCACCCGTCTAAGGTTCCATATTTTAACTTTTTTTTTTTTTTTTTTCTAGAGGCGGATACTATAGTTCAGTGATGGAACGCTTTTCTAACAAGCTCGAAACACGGGGTTCGAGCCCCAGCACCATCAAAAAAATAATAATAAAATAAAAATAGAAGTTCTGAAGCCAGGTGACACATTTTTATTAAAATTTTACATTTAAAGGATAATGGATGACACGTTTGTTTCATGCACGTCCAACCCCCGCCTTGAACATAAAGCTTCTCTAAGTAGGATCATAAATAAATAAATAAATAAATATTTTTTTTTTTTTCCCTTTGAAAAGATATTTAAACAGTCGATGACAAGGTGGAAGACGCCCCATGGGTCAAGAGAGCACTGAAGCAATTCGCGGTGTCCCCGGGGGCTTGAAGGTGTCCGTGTGCACGGGTATTCGGGACCAAACGCCCCAAATGCCTTCCTCGCATCTAGCTTTCTCCCACGCCCGTGGTGTCACCACCCGCGACACCGCTGCAGAGGGAGCTGGCCCTCGGGCCGCCGCGCTACTAGGGATGGGTCTCAAGGCTGGCCGCTGGCAGTCGCCGGCCGGGGATGGGGAGGCCTGAACCTCGCCTCCGCCCCCTCTCCCCGCCACGATCCCGGCCCCGGGCGCCCGCCTCTCCCGGATCCCCGCCCCGGCCCGAGGCTGCACGGCTCTGGCCGCGTCCCCGCGTTTCCCTGCTCACCCGAACACGTGCTCGGAGCTCCAGATCTTCATCGCCGCAGCCGCAGGCCGGAGGCGCGGGCTCGGCGCTCTGCGGGATGCTGCGCGGCGCGGTGTGGGCGGGGCGCCCTCCGTCCCGCCCCCTCCGTCACGTGGCCCCGGCTGCGGCCGCTAAAGATAGCGGCGTAGGAGGCGAGTGGTACCCGGGGCCGCGCGGCTGCGGGGACCTGCGCGAGTGCGCAGCCACCAATGGCCGCGCCGGGCTCTTTGAAGCTGTGCGGATTCTGTCCCTGCCCTTTCCAACCGCTCGGGAACGTCGTGGACGTAACCGGAATTGCCACTTCAAAATAAACGGTGTGGGGGACTGAATGAGCCTGAAACCCCAAAGCTACCGAGGCGCGTCACGGGCAACCCACTAGAGGGACTTGCAAAGACAGAGCCCTCGCCGCTACGAAAGTGGCCGCTTCCGCGAATGCTTTCGAGAACAATCTGTGGTGCTGCAGCAAAAGGCCGGAGGACAAAGGCAGGCTTCGTCCTAAAGTTACCAGTAACCGGAAGCGCTGCTGGAGGGGAGCTAAGAGCCTTTATTCTGAAGACACAGAGCTGTTCTCGCCTCGGAGGGAGTAAGACCCAGTTTATATGTGAGCCCAATATGAGTGATCGTGGTCCAGGAGCAATGACTGAAGTTGCCCTGAAAGCTACGTCCCACTGTGGATGCGGTTACGTGAAACTGTATTAGTTACAAAGCAAAGAAGGTCACAAATCGTGACATTTACCGTGTAAGTCATCAGGGACTAAAGCAAGTGGGGAACTCGGCTATAGGCCTCAGATGCTTCTGTAAGATGGGGCAAGCCTGTAGGACATTTTCATTAGTGAATGACGGGGGAGGGCCCAGCCCATGTGGGTGGTCCTGGGCTCTATAAGGAAACCTGTCAGCTTGAGTTTGATCCTCGGATCCCACGGTGGAAGGAGAGAGTCAATTCCTGAAAGCCGTCCTCTGACTTCGATCACACCACAGCAGCCCTGCATTTGTATGTGTACAATTAGAGTAAAAACAAACCTGGGCATGGTGGCCCAGGGCCATACCTCAGTATTTAGGAGGAGGAGCAGCCTAAGCTACATGATGAATTCAAGGCCAGTCGGGGATACAGGGGACCCTGATTCTAATGGGAGGGGGGTTTGCAATTACAAGCTTTCTAAAATAAATTCCCTAGTAAAGATAAAATGGGGAGGAGAGAGGGGGGAAAGGGAGAGTCTCCTTCTTTGGGCACATGGGGCATGGCTACTGCTGTGCATCATTTGATTACCCAAGCTTACGGTATCGTTGTTTCTTGCCAAGCATGTCTCTAATTCTCAGATTACCGCGTTTTATAAAGAAAGCTCAGGTCCGTCTGAAAGGTGGCCCTCATGCCCTTCCCAAGACTACATCCCAGTGAGGACAGTTGCAGTGTGATCCCTCTGCCTTACACCTACCAAGACCAGCAACTACATGGGAAAGGGAACAGGAGGGTCCATCTCTTTGTTTTGTCTTGAGACAGGATCTCGCTGTTTAATATTAGCTGGGTGGGCTGGACATCTCTTTGCAGACCTCTGTGGCTTCAAGCCTGCAGCGATTCTCATCCTTGACTTCCCAAGTGCTGGAATTTCAGGAGTGAAATTCCACCCTGGCTCTTGCTTAATTTTAATTGCTTATATATTCCACAGTTCATGTAATGGGTCCCTGAAGCACCTCTCATTCAGCCAAGACCACCCAGCCCGCACAGGGCTCCTCAGCCCTCTGTCTTGCTTCACTGATCCTCTGTATTGTGCTTGAATGGCAGCACATTCTCCTGGTATCTCACTCTCTGAGTAGCAAGAACATCTTTCCTTGTATCCTTTGCATCTTCCCCTCTCTCCCCCTGCACCCTCCCAGGGAGCATGTCCACTGACCCCCAAGCCTGCATCTCTGCGCTGGCTAGATTTATGTCATCGTGACACATGCTAGAGTCAATGGAGAAGAGGAAGCCTCATTTGAGAAAATGCTTCCATAAGATGGGGCCAACCTACAGGGCATTTTCATTAGTGAATGATGTAGGAGAGCCCAGCCCATGGTGGGTGGTGCCATCCATGGGCTGGTGGTGCTGGGTTCTATAAGGAAGTAGGCTGAGCAAGCCACAGGAAGCAAGCCAGTAAGCAGCACCCCTCCATGGCTTCTGCCTCAGCTCCTGACTCCAGGTTCCTGCCCTGTTTAAGTTCCTGTCCTGATTTCCTTCAATGATAAACAATAAGTTGTAACCAAATAAACCCTTACCTACTCAAGTTGATTTTGGTCACGGTGTTTTATCACAGCTGTAGTAACCCTGACTGGGACAATCTCCATGTCACATTCCCACCAAGCTTTAGGTTCAGGCCAGCAGCCTGGGTACTTACAATCTCCCAGCAGGCTCCAAGCACCATATTCCTTAGGCACATTCCTCCTCATTGTCACTGTTGGGGCATGGGATAGCCAGGGTCCCCAAGCTAGAGACCTGTAGTATTGTCTCATAAAGCCAAGCAGCCATAGTCTTGAAATTTGCCTCTCGCACAGGGTGCTAACCTACTCCTCTCTCTCCATCCTACAGGAGGCAGCAAGTCTGGGGCCAGGGCTAGTCCCACTTCATGAGCTACTTCTCTCTAAGCCTTAGGGCCTTTACCCAAGAAAGAAGCAGGCTGGCAGTGGCTACCCTGAAGGGCGGGAGAGAATGGACGGGAACCATAAGACCTGTCAGCTGTCACTGCCACCCCTGCTGACTGCACCCTAGCCCTACCCACTTCCTCCTCCTCCTTGATGGTCTCTGCCTCCTTTCAGCCTGCCCCGGTCAATGGTGCCACCCCATGCCAGAGATCTGTTACCTGTCCTTCAGGACCTGTCCTCTGAAGCCATGCCCTACAGACCTCAGGGCCACCCTTGGTCCCACCCTCCCAATGCTCAGAAGCCCCCTGCACTTCTGGCCTTACTCATCAAACTCCCATGGCTACCGGACTTAATGGTCTGACTTGGAGCCGGTTTTCAGGCCTGCCCTTTTGAGTGGGCATTTCTGGGGCAAGTTTCAGAAATTATATATATATTTGTATTATATATTATGATACATAATATTATATATAATATATATTAGTGAGCAGCCTGAGCCGTTAAAATGCTGGCAAAAGTTTGGAAATTGGGACTCAGCCTCTTTGAGCTCTCCAAGGTCTGAACCCCATTTGTTGTGCACACAGGACTTAACCCAGTCTCTGGCAAACAGGAGGTACTTGCCAATTGCTTGTTCAGTGACTCAAAGATCATTCTTAGGAAGTGACAAGGCCAAGAGTGGCCCGGCCCTAGTGGCCCACACACCACCTAGGGTAACTCCCAGCAGGCAGCCAGGCTAATATTTCCAGCTGTGTTCTTCAACCCTGCTCACCACCTGGAGGAAACCTGCAGGCTCGTTAGCAGTGCTCCTACTTTTTTTTTTTTTTTTTGCTGTTTAAGACAGGTTCATACCTGTAGCCCATGCTGGTCTCATGCTCCTGATCCTCCTGCAGCAGCTTCCCAGGGCTGGAATTATACGCCTGCATTATCACAGCCAGTGTGTGTGTGTGTGTGTGTGTGTGTGTGTGTGTGTGTATGTGACTGTGTCTGTCTGTGAGTGTGTATGTGTCTGTTTGTATGTGGGGGGTCTGTTTGTATGTTTGTGTTGTAGATTAAATCCAGGTTATCAAGTATATGCTCTACCACTAATTTATCCCCCCATTCTTTAAATATATATTTTGGGCCAGTCATGGTGGCATACACCTTTAATACTCTCTCTTTCTTATCAGGGTTTCAATAAAATCAGGACTAACATTAAGGTGTGTGTGTGTGTGTGTGTGTGTGTGTGTGTGTGTGTGTGTGTTGGGATTACAGGTTTGAGCCACCAGATATAACTCAAATATTTCTTTTGTTTTCTCTCTTCTTTATTTCTTCCTTTTTTCCTTCTTTCCTCTACTTCTTTCTTTTTTATTTTTGTTTTTTAAAGACCTGGTTTCACTGTGTACCCTTGGCTGTCCTGGAACTAGCTTGGTAGACCAGGAAGACACCAGCTCTTTCTTCTTTCTTCTTCTTCTTCTTCTTCTTCTTCTTCTTCTTCTTCTTCTTCTTCTTCTTCTTCTTCTTCTTCTTCTTCTTCTTCTTCTTCTTCTTCTTCTTTTTCATAAAACACTGCTCCTAAAGATAGGTGCATGTATTTGAGAGTTGCTATACCAGAACAGGTTTTTGTTTGTATGTTTTTGTTTGTTTGTTTGTTTTTGTTTTTTAACTTAGAGAGGAAAACCTATTTCCCAGAAGGGGAGGAATTTCAGAAAACTTTGGAGTTGCTCATTGCCCATTTCCCATAGTTATTTGTCTCATTCATTTCCCCAGAACTACAAGAAAACCTGGGCTCAGGCATGCCACTGATTCACAGATACAACAGCAGTAAAGACTGTTTATAGAGGCCTACTGGCCTGCTGTGTTGTCAGAGCAAACAGGGCACCAGAGTTCCTTGCCCTAGCCAGGTTTGCTAAGTCTTCCTCACAGAGTACAGTGGGAGGGGCTGAGGATGTAGCTCAGTGCAACTTAACCACACCTGCCAGGCCTGGCAGGTGACACATGATAACATCATAGGTTGCTAGGCAACCCAGAAGTAGGCTGCCCAAATACTAGCATTCCTCCTTTTTCTATAATTAAAAAATGAGGAGCTTGGGCTGCTTCTCATGTAAGGCAAGTTAAAGTATATAAATTTAGGTTCTTTGGAAGCAGATCTTAGTTGCCATGCAAGAAGGTAAGAGAGAGAGAGAAAAAAAAGCAACAAAATGTCCAGATTACATGGTCAAGAGGAGGAGGAGAAGCCCCTGCCCTGGAAAGTTCAGGGTAGAGGGTTGCCAGTAGAGAGTTGCCAGCCACGCAAGACAGCAGGTAAGGACTGTGGAATGCTGGGAGAATCCGGAGCTGCTTGTCCTGGGCCTGAAGCACACCATTCCAGCCTTTTGTTAATAAGTGAATATCGGGTGTAGATTCTCTTCTGACTACTTCCTGCTAACACTGGGGGTATTGTAGGTAGGTCAAAAGGCTGAAAGGCTGGCCAAGTCCAGGAAGAACAGGCTGTTTCAATGCTGTCCAGGGTCTATGAGAACATCCATGGCTGGGAGGGAAAGTGCAGGTCCAGCTTGACGGAAGTCTGTGAGGTCAGACTGGGACACCTGTGGTAGCTGATTTGGCACTGTTGTGGTTGTAGGAAACACCTGGGTCTGGCAGGATACTAAAACATATATATATATATATGCAGAAGACAAAGTTAAGTAGGTTATGGGGAAATTTTCTTTAGGTATACATTTAAAACTTTTGGGAGAGTGAACAGAGGGGGAAGGTTTGGATCAAAGAGACTTAAACATGGGAAACTCCATTTACCTGAGGGAGCCTCCATTTTCCCAATCACTGGAAGTAATTAAAAAGGCTTTGCTTTGGATCTGTCATTTAAGGAAATTGAGGCCAAGTTTGGTTAGAGGTATGTAAGATTAGAGGCCCTTAAAGCAGGCATTAGGTATAGAAATATGAAATTCTTCAGAAGACATGCCAGAGAAGAATCTGGAGGAACAGACGAATGGACTATTTCCATTGGTCAGGTAGGAGTCAGTGACCTTTCAAGGCATCCCAAGAGCAAGGTTTGACTCACTAGGTTGGTATAATCTATTCCAACAACTCTCAGCGCTGGCCGGAGACCAAGGGCACAGTTGCCTATAGCAGACATGGTTTACCTAGTGCTAGGATTTTCATAGATGAGAGAGAGAGAGAGAGAGAGAGAGAGAGAGAGAGAGAGAGAAACCTTGCTGGTAGAGGGAAAATCTTACCCAAGGGAGGAGGTCCTAGTTGAAGGGTTTGGGTATAGGTTGGTGAGAGCAGGAGGAAGTGTTTGTGCCAACCAGAAGTGAAGACTCACCA